ATATTGACACCTTGACATATGGATTGACACCTGTCCTCAGAGCCCCTGATGCACACGACACAGAGCAGAATAGGGACTGTTCCCCTACATAGGGTCACTTGGCAGATATGGATTGACACCTGTCCTAAGGATCCCTGATACACACTGACACAGAGCAGAATAGGGACTGTTCCCCCTACATCGGGTCACTTGGCAGATATGGATTGACACCTGTCCTAAGGTTCCCTGATACACACTGACACAGAGCAGAATAGGGACTGGTCCCCCTACATCGGGTCACTTGGCAGATATGGATTGACACCTTGTTACAAACTGCTATTTGTAACGGGCCCTTTAAATGGCAAATTGCCCTGCTTCCCTGGGTTGTGGAGAAGCCTATTTGCCAGCCTCCTCCCGCATGACTATGGCCCCTGGAAGAGTGTGAAAATGTATGCACTTTTATTTGGTGTGTATGGCCCTTTAAGACTGTCGGTGGGCATATTAGGGCTTATGGACTCTTTATGTGACTGGTGCTGGCCCTTTAAACACCTTTTTTGGGACATCAGGAAGATTGGGACACTGCCCCTTTAGGGCCGTGTCCCCAGACTTGTTGGGGACACTGCCCCTTTAAGACGGTGTCCCCTGTGTCCCCAGACCTGGTGCAAACCCTTTGTGCCTGCGCCAGCCTTCCCACTTGGTTCAGTAAATGGGAAATTATTTCAGCCTGCAGAGACGCTAAATTACATTGATGGGACTTGAGTCGTTCAACCGTTTTTCAGCCTTATTTCAGCTGCAGAGACTAGAATTACATTGATGGGACTTGAGGAGTCTTTCAACTAACATTTCAGCTGCAAGAGACTAGAGTCCATTGTGATGGGACTTGAGTGGATTTCAACCTGAAATAGACCGACCTCACAACCCAAATCTATGGAACTGTTTTGGGCAGGAAAATGTGCTTGCAGACGGTCATAAAGGGACCTACAGCTAACTTTTTAACCCCTGGATGGATTTGGCTGATTTTTTGGTTATGTTTATGTTTTAAGTGTGCTGATTCCAAATATGTAATTATGAAGATGGGATGTGTGGTTTTAAAGTTACAGGGTATGGCTAAAAACTGTATTTTTACTGCCTGTGTTTAATTATGTTAATCTCTTCCCAAACATCATTTCGTTCAAAGTGGAGAGAATGTTAAAAAAATATATTTTTGTTCGGAGTGTGAGAAATGCTTTTCAGCCGCTTCTAATCTTAAGCATCATTTGAAGACCATACAGGAGAGAAACCTTATTTGTGGTGTGTTTAGTATTGTTCTGATCAGTTTAATACCTTCCGCGTCTCCTATCAGTGGACGTGTATATGGCAGCCATTTTAGGAACCGTACACCTGGGACCCGAGCAAGGTCACCTCGTTCAACAGGCGACAACATTTGTCCCTGGAAAGCTATCCTGGACATTCTGTACAATTTGGATATGGCATTGATTTTTGTAACAGGAGATGGAAGAAGAGGCTTGGTCGGTCCTCTTACTGCAAATTTGGGGCACTGCGCGGTCAAGCTAATGTGACACCAGATAGGAGTGGTGTGTTAGTATTGTTCTGATCAGTTTAATACCTTCCACGTCTCCTATCAGTGGTCGTGTACACGGCATTGATTTTTGTAACAGGGAGATGGAAGAAGAGGCTGAGTCGGTCCTCTTACTGCAAATTTGGGGCACTGCGCGGTCAAGCTAATGTGCCACCAGATAGGAGTGGTGTGTTTAGTATTGTTCTGATCAGTTTAATACCTTCCACGTCTCCTATCGGTGGTGGTGTACACGGCGTTGATTTTTGTAACAGGGAGATGGAAGAAGAGGCTTGGTCGGTCCTCTTACTGCAAATTTGGGGCACTGCGCGGTCAAGCTAATGACACCAGATAGGAGTGGAGTGTTTAGTACTATTTTTATCAGTTTAATACCTGTGTGAGAAATGCTTTTCAGCCGCTTCTAATCTTAAGCATCATTTGAGGAGCCATACAGGAGAGAAACCTTATTAGTGTTGTGTTTAGTATTGTTCTGATCAGTTTAATACCTTCCGCGTCTCCTATCAGTGAGTGCGTGTACCTGGCATTGATTTTTATGGGGAGATGGAAGAAGAGGCAGGTGGGTCCTCTTAATTCAAATTTGGGGCACTACTTGGCGGTCAGCTAATGTGCCACACCAGATAGGAAGTGGTGTGTTTAGTATTGTTCTGATCAGTTTAATACACCTTCGTCTCCTATCAGTGGACGTGTACCTGGCATTGATTTTTGTAACAGGGAGATGGAAGAAGAGGCTTGGTCGGGTCCTCTTACTGCAAATTTGGGGCACTGCGCGGTCAAGCTAATGTGACACCAGATAGGAGTGGTGTGTTTAGTACTATTTTTATCAGTTTAATACCTTCCGCGTCTCCTATCAGTGGACGTGTACACGGCATTGATTTTTGTAACAGGGAGATGGAAGAAGAGGCTTGGTCGGTCCTCTTACTGCAAATTTGG